ATTATCATCAAGCCGATTCAAGAGGGCCTGTTGCACCTGAGGGTCAGGTCCCCGGTCGCGGAGGGCACGAACCGCATACTGTCTAGCAAGAGGATGCGTATCATCTAGTCGGTCTAAAAGGGCCTGCTGCACCTGAGGGACACATGCCCGGCTGCGCAGGGCAAGGGCTGCAGCCCCTCTAACAAGACCATCATCATCATCAAGCTGCTTTAAGAGGGCCTGCTGCACCCGGGGGTCGGATGCCCGTGAGCGTAGGGCAGAAACTACAAGGCCTCTTACAATCTTATTATGATCATTAAGCCTGTTGAGAAGAGGAGGCAGGAGTGCGTTGGCTATAGCAGTTCGATAGGGGAAAGCCCTCAGCACTTCACGTGTGGTTTTTGTGTCCTCGCTCTCAGCGATTTTGCAAAGAATGCGGTCTGGAAATTCCGACTCTTTTGGAAATATGGACCTTTTCTTGAGCTTGATCTCGAAAATGAGCCAGCATTCCAACTTCAGCTCCAAGTCTGCCCTCAAACTCATTTGCGGTGAGACCTCTGCCAGACAATGCATAATGAGTCGCTGATGTACTGGTCCCAGCAAGTCCCTCGACTGAGGATCCTCTAGCTCCCGGAAAAAGCGTGTAACTTCCTCTTGGCCCTGAGCATCGATTGACCCGGCAACGAAACGCCAAAAGATGTCATATTTAGGATCATACTTGTATCTCGCAAGGAAGTCATCCCTCTGCATTGCTCGAGTTGTTCTGCTACCCAGATCCAGGCATATTATTTGCCTTTGGGAGGTCCACTGGCGAACGAAATATTTGGCTGCGAAGAACTCCTGGAAGGTCAGGTGCAGGAAATGATAACTCATGCTGCCTGCGGCCTCATTCAGATCTGATGTGCGGAGAAAAGAGGATTTTAAACATTGATCAACCAGTGTAATGTTTCTATGGTGCCCATACTTTTCCAGGACGATATTGCGGTCGTGGGGTTCAAATTCGATCATGTCATGAAACATTCCGGTGAAAGCGAGATCTTCAAGAAGACGCAGCTGCTCCTCGGATTGCGCTTCAAGTTGACAAGCAAGCAGCCCGGCTGCGGTGGTTTCAGTGACTGGCTGCCCGTTTGGCTTTTCGGATCGCACAACATCTTTCCTAAGTAACTCCTCGACAATGGCCTGATAGAAGGACGTCATTGTCTGCCGTGTCGCATGATTGTCGGGAAGACTGAGGGTATCCCAAGTGAAACAAAATGCATCGAGCAGTATTGGAATCCGAACTAAGCTCTCAATGAGAGGAAACCTCCTCAGAACTTCTTGCGCCTTGGCCGCCTTTTCTATGCCTCCAAAGGCCATTTTTAGATATTCCTCCACTTGATCTGTGTAGAATCCTATCGTTTCTACTTCGAGGTCAATGTGTCGAGCAACATGCTCCGAGATCTGAGCATGGGGACGTGACGTTATGATCACATTCGGTTGATTCAGCAGTCGGATGAGGAAATCGTATTTTGCATCTCCCGGGTTCCATGTATCAGCGACCTCGTCCAAGCCATCGAGGATGAACAGGGTCTTTTCATTCTCGTATAGGTGTCCATCGAAATCAATAGCGCATGCCAGACGGTCGGCTAAAGTGACACCAAACTGATGATGTCGAAAGTAAAAGTGATGTAAAAACTCCCTCAGGTTACATTGATTGCTCGTCCAAGTTTTAAGCCCTCTCAGTGGGAACCAGAGTACTCGCTCAAACAAATTATTCCAGAGCCCGTGCCGCTCAAATTCAAATACGATCTTTTTACATAGCGTGGTCTTGCCAACGCCAGCACGCCCGCGAATCAAGATCCTTCTATTATCGGAGTCCTCGTAGGTGTCAAATAATGTAGTAAGGTCCAAGTTGACATCCTTGTTCAGGGCCTGGATCTTGAGTCGATGAGCGAGCTCAAATGGTGACGACTTGCTCTGTGACTCTTCTGCCCTCGATCCCTGGCGTCTCTTGATGATGGCAAGATTAATGTAGCAATGTCTCATGGAAAGCCTTGTTCTCGATAGTCGTTCGATTTTCAATCTTTCATCGTTATAATGATCATCCCGAAGATAAATGTCTGCATCGGTGACCGAAAGCCTCGCAATCATATCATCATGAATCGATCTCCTGAGTGTTTGCATTGCTTGTGTCTTGCCGCACCCATACATCATAGGCAAAAATATGTCAAAGAGTCCTTGCAATGCATATGCCAGATCTTCCGGTTCCTTGGTTGCCCGGCTTTTCATCCATGCAAACCGATCCTCGACAGTGAATTGCGACAAGAGGCTACCTTGGAGAGCCTTGGCTGGGATGCGTGTGATCTCGTGAATGAGATTCTTCAGCGTGGTTTTATCACCTAAGAGGTGGCCTTCCTTGGAATAGAAAGCAACGGAGCTAGGAGCAATAAGCTCCTGCAGCGTCCAACCGCGCGTAAACCATCTAGAATTGCGAAACGCCAGTTCCCATGAAGGAGTGCTAGATTCGAGGCTGGGCTGTTCAGTCCCTTTGGAAACATCCGAGAGGTAGACGTAACACCTCTTCGAGTCCTTATACCATGCGAACATGGAGTGGAGAGAAGAAAGTAGCTCCGGGCCATTGTCCTTGTTGATGCAGCAGGTGTCGACCCAGAAGTATTGGAGCCTGTCACGTTTCGCTTGTTCCCTACAGAACGTGATCTTTTCGTATCCCACTTTCTGGTCGGCAATTTCGGCCATGATGTCGTTGTAGGTGACTTCATCTCCGTCCAATCCCCACGTATGCGACAGGATGGCGTACTCCGGAATACTGCCTGGTTGGAATTCCGTCAGGCGAATGCCTCCGCCATTGCATTCGAGGAGTCGCATTTGTGTAGGCCAAAGCTGATAATTCGTATTTGAGTAGTCATCGATGAATCAGAGCTCTCTTCCGATCAACGAGGAACGCTATCGTGTAGCAATCAAGAATATTTCCGGGGGTGCTAGGAAGACCGTAAGCCCGTCGCAAAACATGAAAGCAGTGGGGCAAGGTAGTATCGTAGGCGCTGGAGCCCCTATTCGTGAGTCTATTTTAGCAACTCTATTAGCCACATATCACAGAGGCGTAGACCGAGAGGCTCAGACCTGGAAGGTTGATGCAGAGTGCATGCAGCTGCAACAGGAGACCGCAGCTCGCAGGAGTAGGCTACGCCTACCCATGAGATGGTGTTGGGCTAAACACAGTAGCATCCTTGTGCGTCGAAGGAGTATACGATGTCGGGGCTTCAGTAGTTCCATGATTCGAAGACGGAAGGGTAGTCAAACTCATGGCTTGAAGCAAAAGCGTGAGGGGGGAAGAGGAAAAGCCAGCAGTTGGTGGAGGGGAAGTACCGCCAAGAGCCGAGGCAGCTATTTGGAGGCAGGTGCATTGCAAACGCCATTGTCTCAAGTGAGCAAGGCACAATTAAACAAATTATGAAGGCAGGCGCTAAAGTAACAAAATCTTGCACAAGACCATTGCGAATTTAGCAATACATTACATGAAAGGAATGCTTATTTGGTACGTTTTGCGACAAAGCCTACATAGGTAGGTACGGAGTACAATCTCCGCCAATCGCTACCCGAGCTCACCATAGAGCAGCCACTAATTTTAGCCTACCCTATACACCAACCTCATGCGCCACCACAACAGTCGTCGACAAAAAGGATCCTGCAAATGGGAGTATCAAGCTCGGCTATCAATGGTTGTGAATGATGTAAGTGCATCAGAATCCCAGGAGAGCCATAATGGCCGGCAGATTCGAGTTGGGCTGGAAAAGTATCCTAAACCCCTGTCTCGACAACTGCACCTTTCTCGGTTTTTACCCAAGCATCAAATTGACAACCACAGATCTGAACCCAAACCACCGCGCTTGACTACTCTATCTTCTAATCTAACTTTAAAGCTCAAATTCCACCCAAAAACTAACGACCATATCTAGCATCGCCCCACAAGGCTAAATCGCCAAGATCAATACTAAGTGCTTCTCCTAGCCATGACAACTTGCCCACTTCGCTTAACGAACGCACTCCAGGTTTCTTCGATGATGAACAGAGGCTTCTCAGCCTCAATCATTACGATAGAGGTATATTCCCTTGCATCAACACTACTTCGTCTTAATAATAGTTCCCACTGTTCTTACCCAGCCTATATCCAAAGATACAGCATCCTTGCCCCGCTACAGCACTGTGTTGCGCAAGACTGCCTTGATGTGTATGCCTAAAAGTTTGATCTCACTGCAATGCGCTTCCATATATTCCTACCATCGAGGAAAGTAGAGAAAAGAAAAAGTCAAGAGAGCTACCCATAGAGACTGACGCAAGAGATCGTGCAGCATCCTAAAGAAGTATGACATTACTCCAGCTCCATGCTCTAGTAATCAGCAGAGTGTTCCTCTACCAATTTTCCTAGTCCATCAGTAATATCACATGTGGCCTCTGAACTGAAGACCTAATGCGTAGGTTCCCGCGTGATATCCTAGTGGAAGAATAGGCAAACACTCATCCTTTGGGAAAGAGACGTGGATTTTTAATGCCAGTATTCTTAATTTGGCTTCATCCTTGGGTTAGGAGTAATGGCACCTCTTGTGATGCGTATTAAAGGCTGGAAGGCGAAAAGTGCCTTCCATATCCGACTCTGTGAAAGTGTTGATAACAATAGTCATGGGTTTCGAGGAATCTGCTGGTGGCAGGACACGCCCACGAAGCAAGGAGACTCTCGAGGCAGAACCGCAGTAGTCGGACTTTCATTGGAACGCGTTCTAGCTCAAAGTCGGATTACACAAAGACATCATTACTTTAAACGTCATAAACTCTCTCCATTTGTAGAATTGTCAGCAAGAGTAACGACAAAGCAACAATAGAACACCAACAAAATATCAAGGAAGTATCAATAAAATGCTCAATCAAGTTCCAAGAAAGCGTCAATAAGGTAACAATGAGGTATCAATAAAGTTAAGCCAATAGCACAAAAATGAAAACAGAAAAGTCGTAAAATAAAATACAGATTACCGGAACATTCTCGAATAGTCCAAGTTAGGGTCACAGGCAGATAGGTATTGCTGTGAAATGCCAACAAACTCAAAGAACTCAGGAGCTTTCGATGGGTCGATATTCGTTCCCTGGAGCACCTTATCCCTTGGTAGCCTCAATTTGAAGAAATGGTCCTCGATCCAGGTGAAGTACAGGTCCCCCATTGACCAAGAGCCGACTTTAGTAGGCTCAGGGTTTGCATGTAAAACTAAGAAGGGCTTGGTTCCTCGAGGACCGCCACAGATCCTGATGTCGGCTTGGAAACCTTGGCACCCCTTATCTTCCTCCTTGATCTGGTCCTCTGGGAGGCGGAAAAATTTGACAGTTCTGTGGTCTCCATGCTCGTACTCTCCGAAATCGTCCTCATCGTCGTAGGTTCTTGCAAAAAGCCTGGCATGGTCCTCGCAAAACAGCTCATAGCGCTGTTTCAACCAAATAATGTCCCGGTGCCGAGGAGGCGTTCGTTCGAGTAGCTCATACGCTTTTGAGACGAGTTCGGTCGCATTCTTGGCCAGAATTATCTGCCTCTCCAGGAAAGGGTCAGCGCTCCTTCTGATTTTCTGGTTATTGAGCTGCAATCTCCAGCGGTCACGGTTCTTGGCGTCGTCAATGTTTATTTCGTCCAGCGTCTTCAATGGTTTGGCAGGCTCTGCCGGGGCGCTATGTCGCAAATTTTGATTCTTTGCTGGTCCTGTGTCCTTTGCTGGTTTTATATTCTTTGCTTGTTCTATGCTCTTTGCTGGTACCGTGCTCTTTGCTAGCCCTGTGTCCTTTGCTGGTTTTATAATCTTTACTTGTTCTGTACTCTTTGCTGGTACTGTACTCTTTGCTGGTACTGTACTCTTTGCTGGTACTGTACTCTTTGCTGGTACTGTACTCTTTGCTGGTACTATACTCTTTGCTGATCTTGTGTTCTTGGCTGGTCCTGTACTCTTGGCTGGTTCCGTGGTCTTGGCTGGTACTATGCTCTTTGCTGATCTTGTGTTCTTGGCTGGTCCTGTGCTCTTTGCTGGTTCTGTCCTCTTGGCTGGTACTACCGTGCTCTTGGCTGGTACTATGCGCTTTGCTGATCTTGTGTTTTTTGCTGGTCCTGTGCTATTTGGTGGTCCTGTGCTCTTTGGTGGCCCTGTGCTCTTTGGTGGCCCTGTGCTCTTTGCTGGTTCTGTGTCCTCTGCTGACTCCTCTTCTACCTCTGCATCTTCTGTTGATTCTGAGCTTTCATACTCTGATGAGCACTCACTCCAGCCGCCAAAACCCCATTCCATATGTGCCATTTCGTTGTAAATGTCAAGATACCATGGTGGCCAATATGCGGTATAGTCCTCAGTAGGTGGTTCGATATCCCAGTCGCTCTCCTCCTCAGTATACTCCTCGATATCCTCCTCAGTATACTCCTCGATATCCTCCTCAGTATACTCCTCGATATCCTCCTCAGTATACTCCTCGATATCCTCCTCAGTATACTCCTCGCTCTCCTCCTCAGAACTCTCCTCGCTCTCCTCCTCGGTATCCTCCGACACTTTAACTCTCTTGGGTCCAAAAAGCAGTCTCGCAACACTCTTCACACTGGTAGATTCGGGCAAGGCCGAAGCGGGCCGTTTCATGGCTCGTGGCATTCTGGTTGGGCCAGCACTTGGGTAGTTCAGCCAGGGAAATCAATTGAAAAGTGAATAAAGTGAATATGTTGTTTCGTCTGCCCTTCTAATTAACTCCCTGCAGAACACGTGTTTTCGCGTCATTTTCGCGGGGCCTTCCCGTGCAGTGTGGTGGATTACGTAACGCACTTACCCTGGTTGCCTGACATGTGGCTGCCAGAAAAACGGGGACTGCAAAGTAACTCGGCAGAATTACTGTGACCATTAGTTAAATAATAATATTTCCCATTATGCAATACTAAGCAGACAACATTGCCTCATAATTGCGCAATATTATTATTACTATTAATATTAACTATTGTCTATCAATATTGTGACCTATATTGGAAAGTTGGGATGAAGCATCCGGGCGCAAGACCCTCTAATCCATTCACTGAAAAAGCCACTAAAGTCTACCTACCCGAGACCCATCAACAACCACATATATCATCAATCGAGCGAAGCTGGTCAAGCAAAGAGCAACCTGATTCGTGGAATCTTTGACAAATGCAAGTTCAATGGATTTACTGAGGCTAAGTCTAATAGACTCATGACAACGATCGTTCGGGAGGCCTTCTAGCAAGAGCTGGCTATGATGTATAGGTCTTGGAAGCGGGTAGACTTTAACTGTTACCTCCATAGAGTAGATATCAAGACTTATTTGGGTCTTTGCCTATGATCTTTTCCAATCCAATGCGGTCTGTTCAGGAGCTATCAGGCCAAGTGGGTCACCCCACGATAACAGGAAGCGCTACTTTTGGTGAGACCTGAACTGGCATCGGTTCACCCTCCTTGGTCATCTGGTGACCAACTCCCAAACAACATACTCCAAGCCCATGGCAGTCGGAACATAGATCGAAATAACCCTCATTACAGATTCCACAATAATAATAACTGTATCCGCGATGAATAAACAAAGTGCAGGCATCGCATTGTGGAAGTATATTAGGGTTCCTCATTGTACCTAAACCAGGAGTAGGGGCTAGCTTCCACCTATCGGATAATATATCGGTGTTTCTAGCATGTTGAAGGAGGAGTTGTATGATGAGGGGATTTGCGTATCGCTTAGCGTACCACAGTGGAGTTCGCCCCGAGTGGTCTGGAGAGTTCGAATCTACACGCCCTGTGCCTAGGAGCCGCATGGTAACCTCCTTGCGATTATGCCGCACTGCTAATGATATCGGTGTTGAACCGTAATAGTCCTCTCCATCAATTTCGACCCTGTCGTTTGATATCAAGGCCTTTACCATTGTATCATGGCCAGCCATGGCAGCGTATGATAGCGGCGTACGGCCGCAATTGTCTTTAGACTCAACGTCAACACCATGTGTTACTAGGAGCAGGTTGAAAACAGCCTCTTTCCCCTCTCTAGCAGCTACTGAGAGCGGCGTACGGCCGCAATTGTCTTTAGACTCAACGTCAACACCATGTGTTACTAGGAGCAGGTTGAAAACAGCCTCTTCCCCCTCTCTAGCAGCTACTGAGAGTGGTGTTTGGCCATCAGAATCTTTGGAATTCAAGTCGGCACCCTTCTCTATCAACAGCTTGGCGACCGCCTCATGCCCCACGGAAACAGCTATTGAGAGTGGCGTAGCTCCATCGCGATCTTTGGAGTCCAACTCGGCGCCTTTATCTATTAATAGCTCGACGGCTGCCTCATGTCCATTGAAAGCAGCCCAATGGAGTGGTGTCCGGCGGTCAATATCATCTTTCGAGTTCAAATCGACGTCCTTCTTTAATATTAACCTGACAGTCAGAAGATGGCCATAGTATGCGGCTACCATGAGGTGTGAAAACTGGGGGACTCTGCCGTCCTTTTTAAAGCCCCAATTCTCACCCCAATACATTTTGAACCACGGCAAGTAGCTTTTTGCACTTGGATCAGAAATTCTCAAAACAATAGGCATGACAGCGGCGTTTTCGGCAATGTCAGCATGGCGGAAGTGAGCTCCCCAATTTAGTGCCGAGTAAACAAAGAAGGGTTGTTGATCCATGAATTTGACCATCTCGTTGTGTTCTTCTTCAGATGGTGATTGAGTGCTCCCATTTTCGGGTTGGGAATAAGGCAACATGTGATGTCCAACTTGAATTTGCGATCAAAAACTCGCGAGCTGTTTGGTGGAGAAAATAGACGTGACCTTGTGAGATTAAGATGAATAACCCGCACCAGGATCTAATGCGCTTCTTGAAGTCATGCTCGTACTCTAGATCAATGTCCTCAAATGATTCTGTTTCGTAGTCGATGTTTGTCGCTATATTCAGTTCCTTGAGTGTAAGTGGCCGACTTGCCGCTAAGACAATGCTCAGGACTTTGCGAACCACCAGGTGCTCTTCGGCATTGGATCTGTTGAGAATCTGCTCATATGCCTCGTTCACACTCCTCGGGAGGTTTCTGATAGCCGAGTCAACCCCCTTCCGTGTCTTCTTAAAGCTTCCCTCCTTCAAATGATCGAACACAAGGTACACCCAGAGATAGGTACGATGGCTGGTCAAATGCAATCTTTTCTCCAGGTGACTCTTGATCTCGGGGGAGAAGGTATTTGGCAACTGATGAACTCGGTGTGTGATGACGCGATTTACCTCCTGGCTAATAGTCTCTGAATTATCCTCTCCCGGTATGTGAATGTTTGGGAAAACGCCCAACAAGTTGGAGAATCGAGACACCAATTGCTCGTAAGGGCGACATGTAAGAAGGTATCTCAAGCTGGCATTACCTGGGTCGTTTCTGTGAAACTGCGCCTCTATATTCCGCACTAGAGCTTCAAACTCGGTTTTTGCACATTCGTCCAAGGCGTCGAGCACAATGATCACGGATCCCGCCTGTGGATCTCGGACAGAACTTCGCAAAATCCTCCAAAGTGAGTCAATAGAGTTGGTCAAACTTTCTCCGTCTTTCTCGTATTGCTGCATTGCATGCTTGATTAGAGCCGGATTTTGAGAGAACAGCTGATGAAGTACTGCACAAAGCATCTGTCGAGCCGTATTCTGATCTTCGTCTTTGAAGAAAAAATAGCAGATGGTTGCTGATCGTGGCAAGCCACGGTCAATCAAGTATCTGGCCAACACAGATTTTCCACAGCCAGGGTCGGCTGTGACAAGGAGCGGCCCAGAGTTCTGTCTCAACCATGCTTGGAAATGATCATGTTCAAGAAACCACAGGCATGTGCCTTCAACTCTTTCCTCTACTCGGTTCTTGTACCACTCATACGTGATATCCCTATCACTGGCTGTAAGGCGGAATAGCTGGTGACATTTTTGTTCTTGTCGAGTGAGCATGTGCTTGGCTAAATCCTTCTGGGCTTGCACATGCTGCCTTGTCATTTCTAACTGCGCAGTTGCGACATCATAGAGGCCTAAAAACATGGTTAACAAGCTTGCATGGAAAAGCTGCAGGAGATGAGATTACCGGATAAAGTACTGCTCAGCTTCGTTTCAGCTTGAACTCTGCTTGGAGCGACTCGCCCGAGGAGATCCTTTGCATATGCTGCAGCCACCATAGCAGCGTAGCCTTGCCACTCTTTGTTCTTGTGAGAGTCGGAATAATCACATATGCCGCGAATGACCAAGCAGGGGAAGTGGTTCATCAATCCAGCCGCTTCCATCTCAAAACATAGGACACCCTGCTCGGCAGCAAGCTTGTCCCGGACCAAAGCGTCTTTCATCAGCTGGTTTGCTGAGGCGATTAACCCGTAATAGATCGCCGGGTTATCTTCGTCTTCGGTTCTTTGACGCCGCACGACCAGATTTCCAGGGGCATCGCAACTTGCCTCGCACTTTACTTCATTGTCTTTGGGGTGTGTGATTCCGGGCTTGTAGAGTCTGTCGCTATTTGGATCTGGCCGTCCATAGGTCTTCCGCAGTCTTGGCTTCTTCTCAAGTATGTTGCTAATATCTCGTTCAAGATTGTGACCGTCACTTTCATACTGACCGCTAAGTACTGTGGCTGCTGTGAGTAAAACAGCCGGCGGGTGATTCAGAAACCCTGTCGTTCTGAAGCTTTGGTCCTGGATGGTTTTCCCAAAGTCATACTGGAAGACGCCGCCTTTTCCCCCTCGAGGAGCGCTGACAACAACATCTCCTAGACGAATATCATTCTTTGTGCTTGGCGCGCCGCCCCCAATGCCAACCATGAGGCCGATCCTAATATTTGGAAAGGTATGAATCATGTCTTTTATGACCCCAGTGGCGGATGATATACCGTACTGGCCATCAGGCAAGACGGCGATCACAACATTGTGTCCTCTGATTTTGCCAAGCGTATATGCATTGCTGTCATTTGGTGATACTGTCCGTGGCCCCTCATGTTCTTCGTCAAGAAATTGTCGCGCTGCAACATATTCTGTTCTTATCGCACAAATCCAGCCGATTGTGTAGTCTTCCGGCTGAGGCATGCTCGTGTCCAAGGGACCAAGATGGTCTAGGGAATTGCATATATTTCTGTGCACAGGCCGGAACGGTTATATCCTCCACTTCCCCAATATGTCAGATCTGTTTGAAGTTCAAGGTTAGCGGTATCGATCGAAAAATACTAAGGCAGCGTTGGGCATCCACGGAGAGTGAAAAGTCGCTCAATTTTTTGCCCCATGCTCACCCCTCATTTGACGGCGTCTCATCAGTCATATTAATGCGCATGTTGTAGCGAATCCGAGAAGAGATGACACACCCTTCAAATGCTGTGCCGCAAGTACGTACATTCCACAACCAACGCTTCTCTTTGCAATGCGCAGTGGTAAGAAAACAGATACGATATCGTCTGTATCAAACAAAATCCCTGGGTTGCACTGACTATCCATCAACAGGAACAGGGGAACCTGCGCTGCTGGTTATTTCTTAGCTTTCCAAAAGAGAAATGCTCACCCGATCATCGTAGCTGAGATCGTCCTGTTCGGGCAACGATGGTCCAAATCAATGAGCTGAATGCAGCTAAATAAACCATTCCGTCTTGGCAAATGAGATGCAGGCAATTGGGCGACATAGAATAAAAAAGGGCCACAGATCCATCATACAGAGTCGTAACTGGAGCGTATTGGTCCAACGGTTTTGCTGCATGGGACTACTGTATGCACATGTGCGTAGAAACTGCTAGTTCTCATCAGCCCCTGTTCTGTTCAACAGATTGCAAAAGAAGTGCTCACCGATCGTCGAATATAAGGAAAGAGGTACCCAGCGAAAGCGAGCTTTGTTTGAATCAAACTTGTAGCACTCCCAATCAACTCGACCCTCTTTGCCAGAATGCAATCATCAATCCCCTACGACCCCAGCCTGGTTCTTGGCAGCGTCCTCGGCAATGCGACCATCCAGCTGGTCAACGAAATATCGCAAGCCGAGGCGCCCGTCGGCGCCGCCCGTGAAGAGCTAGAAGCCCTGGTGGCATCTCGAAAAAGCCTGAACATGACCAAATCCGAGCTCATCGCTCTTGGTATCGATACATCCCCCGTTAACGACGAGATCAACAAGTTGAGCTCCAAGATCGCGAGCGTTACCACGGACTATGCCGAGATGAAGCTCAAGGTCGAGGCAGCCGTCGGAAGCCTTCGTTCAAAGATCTATGGCATCGGCAATAGCGCAGGAGTGGAAAGCCCGATCGACTTTCTCAACGCACAGCCTATATCGGTTCCTTTGGCTGCCGAGTCCCTCAAATTGGACGTTCAGTACTTCTCCATGGATCCCAATGAGCAGAGCGCACAATCGTTTGCTAGCAATATTTCTTCAGTAGTGTCGGATGCGACCAACTGGCTGGGGACCAAGCTCTCAACTGAAATAAGCCACGCTGCTGAGGCTCAGGTCCTCGGCCAGGTCAAAAGACACAGTGTAGCTGGCACGTTGATTCTGACCGCCTCGTGTACACACAAAAATGGGTTGATTCTCGAGCCATTGACGATTAACCCTGAAAAGAGCATCAAGGCTTGGAACCTCCTGTTCCCTGATGACAGGATTGACGTTGCCAATCCAAAGGAGATTGTTGAGTTGGCCCGCACAGCAGATAGAAACGAGACTGGTAACAAGCTCGGTCTCGTGTCTGGCATGACCCTCGGGTCAAGCTTCATCGGCATGGTTCATGTCTTGAACTCGACCAGCAGCGACATCCAATCCCCCGCCGTCAGAAGCCATGTCACCTTCCTCACCACGGGCACGATCTCAGAGGTGACCCTCAACAAATCCGCATCAGATAGTCCAGCATTGGAGACTCTTCTGCCTGCCTTCCAGAGAGTCCAGTTGAACGATCCGGATGATGGTGCCTTGGATCCAGCACAACTTGGGCAGGGTCTCGTGGATTCAGCACTGAACAAGGTCAACAGCAGCATCAGCAAACTTGTTGACGTCAATTTCATGAAGGCAGCCCTTAATGACTACCTGCGGAAGGCTTCTAATGGTAGCACCGGTGTGCCATTGAGCTATCACCTGAGAGAATTTAGCAAAGGCGAAATCGTCGAGGCATGGGTGGCCAAACATCATCCGGAGACTCCAGTACCTTAGTTCACGGCGCCGACAGATCGTAATGCGTATCCGGAATTGATTGATTGCCTTCAATATTGCTGGTTGTTGTTCGGTGGTGCCAAATGAGAAGGAAGGCGTAGATGAGTGACCTTCGAGGGTTCACGCAACATCTTGGAACAGGTTTTAGGCCAGCAATTGAGTAAAAAAAACTGACAAAGATATTTAGTTATTTCCTGTAGAAAAAAACCAATGTGCATCAAAAAAATTTAACCCTTTTGGTCTTGATAATAATCAGCATTTTAGCATCGCAACGAACTACCCTAGAACTCGACAAGATTTGATATGTTTGGTTTCAAATTATCTCCAGAGAAAAAGGCCTCAGATGATTGAATCCTGTAACGGGGCTGCAAACCAATCTTACCATAGTTACTAAGTTTGAAAAGAGCGGTTGCATTGAGTTACAAGAACATGATCAAGCAAAGTAGAGAGGTTAGTTTGTGGTCAGCGAACAGAGTCTCTAATTAACACGACTTGTCCAACCAACTAAATTATATCACATCAAGTCCAAAAGCTTACTGAATTAATCATAGTATGCGTTGACTTGGTAAATTTGGTGCTGATTGCTGTTTTTTTTTATTTCTCCAGATTTTAGAGGTTTTGGGCCGAATCTCTCGAGTGCCGGTGTAGTGCGCTTGATGAGCCAAGATGCAGCACCTACCCGGCCGCGCCTTCCTTGGATGGTCGGTCTCCTGTCCTTTGCCTCAGGCAGCAACTGCGATAGCGAAATCGATAGTCGATTCGCATGAGCTTGACATCAACTGTCTGTCTCTTGTTGCGATGAGCAATCGCTCCAGCCCTGGCCAAGCAGCCATCTCCAACCAGACTTGAGCCACCATTTGGGATACGAGAAACCACAGCCAAATATAACAATCAACACCAAGACCGCATCCCCATCAGCGTCCGAGATGTCTGGGGCAGCCGCTTAACGCAATTAAGCTTGTCTTGAATTCCCATTATAACGGGCAATTGGTCATTCAATAGCCGGCAGCGACATCGGTCCAGCTGAATCATTGCCTTATCTCTTGGCAGGGCCCCGAGGCCAGACCACGGGGCAGAATAAAAATGGAAGCAACCCCGTTTTGCCTCTTCCCCCAGCTTCATGTTTTCTCACTCGATAACCTCAACAGGGATGGACTCGGTCGCTCGTTAACGAGTAAGCTTCAATGCGAGGGCCGAGACCCAGCTTCTCCCCCGCCCAGGACCTCGTGAGAAATGATAAGAGCTTGGAAATGATGGAGAACCTCGAGGCGTCCCCAAAAATCGCGAGCTCTCAGGCCACGCGCTGGCCCTTGGGATGGGTTTTCATTACGAGAGAGGGGTTTTCCATTACGAGAGGGATACGCCACGGTCGGACACCTGCCGGGAGGATGGATACGGCCTCGCCAATATTGCCTCGCGATTTTATGGGTTTCGGTCAGGTCCCCTAATCCAGGGACCAGTGCTTGGCTCCGGCGTCACGGGGAATCTGATCATGCGAGGGGACTATGCCCGCGAAGGCGCCGAACGGTGATGTCGAGACGAGGAGACGAAGCAAAAGTGTTGAGGTCCAACATCAGTCATTGCAGCTCCACCGCAAGTGGTCTGAGCCCTGTGACATTGACGGCGTCTCTATTGGTGGGCGACGAGGCAAATAAATGACGCGCCCCTGAGTATTTTGAGAGGCAGCCTAGGCCAGGGGTGGACATGGCAGGCTCAATCAGGCAACAAGATGGCAACGGTAATGGAAATACGCGGCGACAAGCCCGGCAGACATCAAGATCCGGTGTGGGAGCATCCCGCCCGGCACCTGATGCTTGACCGCAGCTCTGCTTGGGGATTCTGACCAAGCAAAAGACAGGACTCTGGCCAAGGAAGAGACACGCGGCACTGATTGCGCGATCCTGCATGCAAGGAGAATACAAGCTGACAGGAATAGGCAACCGACACCTAGACTCAGATGCTTACGGGCTAAAGGGCCAGGATGATGACATTTGATTGTCTTGGGAGGGAAAATTGGGGAAGATCAACACTCGACTCAGTCCACTGCATGATGGCGAACGGAAAAGACGGAAGGAAGATTTCTAGAAGGTCTGCAGTCATGCGCAATGGCTCGATGGTGGTCCATTCGGTGGACCGCCATTTGTCAGAGAAACTTGGGCGATGCTTGTTAGTCGTGCACATCCCCATTGAGTCTCCATCACCAGTCTCGAGCTGCCAATCAGCATCTTCTGCGGGCATTTACGGCCTTCTCCACTTCCTCTGGAAGGCAAAAAATTTCCTCTCTGCCCCCCCAAAAGAACGACTAGCCTTGAGCTTGAGCGGCGCCACAACCCTCCTGTCAATGGCCCGTCACTTGGCCATGTCGAGGCAAGGCGTGCGGCTCTGCCTATTCCCGCCGGCTGCCGGCTTGGCGGGAACCTCCAGGGGTGAAGATTGACGTCGTTTCCCGGCCGTGATTGCCGGGCTGGGCTGCTGTCGCCCCGAACGCAGATGTGTCTCACGCAGCCTCTGTGTCTTGCTCGAACGCAGCTCCCACAATGAGACACCGCAATTATAAGCAGCTCATTTAGAGTCTGTGGGACTCAGCTGGGCTGGACTCTCCACGATCCACTGCTTGCATTGTCGTCTCTCCATCGCGACTGGGCAAGTCGGTGTTTGAAGCTCCCAGACCCCTGGCTAGTCAGGCCGCCTCGGGAAACACTTGACACATCGAAAGGTGCTCGGGCTCCGCTTGGATTGGCACCGGTGGGCTCTAAGCAAGGTGCTGATGACGTCCGTGGGCAATTGCGTAGGTAATTGTCTCCTAACAGAATCCACCGTATTACCCTCACGAAACCTCCCATGGCGGCCTCGTGCTTGCTGCTCGCGAGATCCAGACAATGCCCGTCGACTCCCCAAAATCCCCAGAGATTTACGAACAAGCACTTTGCGGGGGACGTCGTCTGGGGTTTAACTTTGACGAGATCTAGGTTTCTCCAGCCTTCGCCGAAAGTCTATTGAGCGAAGCCGTGACCGAGGGCGGAGGTTTGTTCTTGCAGCAGGATGTCGAACCTTGCTGCAGCCACCACCGAACAGAAATAACCCAGAAGCAGAATGAGACTTTGTTATCTCGAGAGGAGATCCCTGAGACAAGCCGCCCGTCGTCCCATGACCCACCCCCAGGAAGTCGGTATCGGCTCCGGCGCGCAGCTCTTGGGGCGTAAGTGGTATTATGTTATTGCTTCTCGAGAGTTTGCCAGTGCTGGAGATAACACATCTTCCGCGTTCGGTCTTCCCTCCTCCCCCCACCACCGCACCAAGCCCATATAATGCGTTCCTTTCCCCCCCTCATCTGACTCGGGCTATTTCTTCAGTCTTCTTTGTCTTTAGATTGCCACTAGGCTAGTAGACGGAGCTCTCTCTCCTTTGATTAGGGTTTTCATAAATATAGACGAACTCCCGCGTACTGCTCCCATTCTCACATCAATCTCACCCAACAGTCTCTCCCACATACCTCTCTCTCTTCACACAAGCAATACTTCCCATACTGGGTCATACCTCGGTCGTACTTCCAACATGGCTGATATCGCACCAGCCACGGATGCCACCAAGAGTGCGCCCAACAACCACAACGAGAAGATGGACATCTCCAGTGGGGACAACTCCATGATGGGAGACCACTCGGTGGACAAGGCTGAGGGCACCACCACCGACCTGGAGGAGCAGGGCGCCGCTCACTTCCACCGTCTTGGATGGAAGCGCCTCACAGTCGTCCTCATCGTCGAGGCCATCGCCCTCGGCAGTCTGAGTCTCCCCGGCTGCTTCGCCACCCTGGGTATGGTCGCCGGTGTCATCACCTGTGTCGGTCTCGGTCTCATCGCCATCTACACTAGCCACGTCGTCGGCCAGGTCAAGATCAAGTTCCCCAAGGTCACCCACTACGCTGATGTCGGCACCCTGCTCTGGGGCCGCACTGGTTACGAGGTCATCGGCTTCATGTTCTCCATGCAGCTGATCTTCCTCGTCAGCTCCCACACTCTTACCGGTACGATCGCCTTTGGAAATATCACTGACAATGCCACCTGCTCCGTCGTCTTCGCTGTCGTCTCCGCCATCATCCTTCTCCTGCTGGCTGTCCCTCCCTCATTCGCCGAGGTCGCCATTCTCGGATACATCGACTTCGTCTCCATCATCCTGGCTATTGGTGTGACCATGATCGCCACTGGCATCCAGGCTGGTGACCAGACCGGCGGAATGTCTGCCGTCAACTGGTCCGCCTGGCCCAAGGAGGACATCACCTTTGCTGACGCCATGATCTCCGTTACCAACATCGTCTTCGCCTACAGCTTCGCCATTTGCCAGTTCTCCTTCATGGACGAGATGCACACTCCCAAGGACTACGTCAAGTCCATCTGGGCTCTGGGTATTATCGAGATCATCATCTACACCCTCACCGGCGCCATCATCTACTCCTTCGTCGGCCAGGATGTTAAGTCCCCCGCCCTGCTCTCCGCCGGCTCCCTCATGTCCAAGGTCGCCTTTGGTATCGCCCTCCCCGTCATCTACATCTCCGGCTCCATCAACACCACTGTCGTCGGCCGCTACATCCACGGGCGCTACTACAAGGACTCGGTCATCCGCTACATCAACACCAAGGCCGGCTGGATCTCGTGGCTCACCCTCATCACCGCCATCACCGTCCTGGCCTTCATCATCGCCGAGGTCATCCCCTTCTTCAGCGATCTCCTCTCCATCTCCTCCTCGCTGTTCATCTCCGGCTTCACCCTCTACTTCCCCGCCATCATGTGGTTCGTCCTCATCCGCGAGGGCAGCATCTGGGACCGCAAGAACATTCTCCTCACCGTCGCCAACGCCATCATCTTCGTCATCGGCCTCATCGTGCTAGTGGGCGGCACCTACGCTAGCATCGTTGACATTGTAAGTTTTTTCACTACTTCCCGGCCACCCCCACCGGACTAGCAAAACCTTGCTCGGCATTTCCTTCGGTACTAACATGACGC